TATTCAGACACTGACTCTGTACTGTTGTTTATTTTCTAGAACCACACACGATTACCTAAATAAACGGCAAGTACGAGTTGAATCACCTAGCGTACGACTCTGCGTTCTTTGGAGTTATGACCGACTCACCACAGTGTTCTGAATATTCACACCAGTAAATGCAACCTCTAATTTTCACATATACTTCTATGCCCCATGTACACAGTTTCTCTCATTTTCTGCATGTCCGGTGCGTACTTTCCTTGATGTCAAGTGTCTTCAGTTAGCCTCAACCTTTCTTCCACTCAACTTTGAACCTTCCGTTTTCTTTAAAACTCAAAGATCAGCAACTCAACACCTGGTGCAGATCTAGTCTCAAAATCTCACTTCCTCTTTCCTCCGTGCTGCCAGTTCTTTCACCCCTGCTGTCTATATTTGTGACACAGTATCACACACTTTTTACTCTTTACTCTTTTCAACCTCTTACAGTAGTTAAAGAAATTTACATGCATTTTACTCATCTTTATCCAATTACTCAAAATGTTTCGATTTTATTCTTTAAACCTTTAATGCCTTGAAATGAGGAATCTGTAGAATTAAAGCAAATTTTGCAGGACACAATAACAACAGATTAATTTTATTACCGTCTGACTCTACTGTTGAGTCTTGATGTCACCTGTGTAATCAGTTTTAAAGATAACTTTATTTATTGTTATTATTAAACTAAAATCTCCAGCATGGGGAAGTGGGCTGAGCTCGACTTTTCTCGACAAGTTTGTTGTAGCTCAACATGAAGCTCAGCCTCATTCATATATTACTTTGACATTAACACAGCGGGCCGGATCACCTGGGAAATGATGGACTAAAACTAACTGGATGTCAGACAAATTGTGTCCCTGCTTATTTCCAAGCCCAAATGAGTAACTTCACATTCAAAAACGAGCCCAAGAAAGCAAAACCCGCAACTCATTACATTTGCAAGCAACTCAACTAAAAAACAAGCCCAAAGCTGCTTATGATAATCAGACTTGATATTTCTGTAGGTTTCATTGCTATGATGATGCTGAAGGTATAATAATAGTTTGATATTTTAATACAGTGTATGATGGTAAAATAGATGGGACATCAGCAGAAGGAACAAAGTAGGAAAACAAAAATACTCAATAATATGACAACTGAACTGGGACTGGGGGATTCATGGATATTTCAAAACCAAAGCAAAAAGGATTTTATTTTATTTTCTAAAGTCCATAATATCTATTCAAGGATAAACTTCTTCTGTATTCCTCAAACATATTTATAGTATTGGAACAATCACACTGAGTGTTCACCAGTTATTCTGCAGTTAAACTTATGTAAGGAAACTCGCTTTAGATACTGGAGACTAAAAGTATCACTGCTCACCAACACATCAGTGATTTAGGGCTAAAACTTATCAGAATAAATGATGATGGAAATATTAAAACACCTTTGATGTAAAGCCATGGCTGTATTACAAGGAAAAATGATTCAGATACAACATAATCTCATCCTCTTTGATTTTAATACAAAGTAACACATTACTGACATCACTGACTATAACCCTTGTTATAATCAACATGTAAAAAAGCCTGACTTCTGATTCTAATAAACCTCATTAAAATACAGAACAGTTTCAAATTAAACTTCATCCTGTTCTATTCTGAATAAATCCTAGTTATAATCAACCTAAGTAACATTTTTTTTTCCAACAGTATCTTTATTGGTTTTACAACAATGCTTTCGATAATATACAGGACATAAGTGTGCTCTCATATCAAAGGAAAAAGAGTAGTTAAATTATTGTCAATCATTCAACTTGCCTTTTTTTTGCCAGTCAAGACATTGAGATCTCTTAGAGCAACACTTATTACATATATAATAATATATGTAATATTACATATATATGTAATAATATATATATATATATATATATATATATATATATATATATATATATATATGTATGTATATATATATATACTTTCTTTAAATACAATTTGAAACCACAACAACGCATTTATATTTATATATTTGTAGCCCAGGAAATACTTGGCCTCACAGGACACAATAAGTGGGGTTCTTAGTGTGCAGTATATTTTATTATCAGTGGAAACAGACTGAACAAAGCTGTCTTGGTCCCTTACTATCGTTCAAAAATCAGAACATAGATGTACCTAAACATTTGGTAAATATTCATGAAATGTGGCAGATCCCAAAAGAAAATACAATATGTCAAAGAAAAGAAATAGAAATATGGCAGTGGCCTCTGGATTCGACAGTAATGTCTCAGTTCACTCTTTACGCTGGAGAACACCGATGATCGGACATCTTATTTTCACGTGCAGTAAATGGCCGCCCTGCACCGCACAGACAGGCTCCCGATTTTCTGCTGAAACTATGACCTGCAGATAAATCACGTACGGTTCCCGTCCAAGTTCATCACGTAGCATAGCAACACCGGAAGAGAACAAAATGCATTTCCTTCCCCGTTTTGGGAAACGGTAATCACTTTGAAACACTGCTCTCTGGTGGTCAAACTGTGCAGCACCTGAGACCAACTACCTGAACATATTTAAATGTGAAAAACATACACATAGGAAATAAAATTACATAACTGAAACAAAATCACTTAACAGCATTGCTACTGTAACAATGAAAGAAAACCAACACTTTGAAACAGTGCAATTATTTAACCAAAATTGACCACCCGGCTACATATTTATCATGGAAAACAATTTAATGTCTTATTTTCATCATAACTTGTTGCATATGATGAATTGACAACTCCTCTGATGGTCAGACCTCTTAATGCGCAGGCATGGTGCTCACTGCATGTGCAGTGGGGCAAAAAAGTATTTAGTCAGTGTTAAGGAAGAAATTATCTGAAATAGTTAAATTTGGAAAAAAAAGTCTGGCTCTGGGCTGATCCAGGTCATGTTCTGGTTACCAGGGCAACCAGCTCCACCAATCAGATCTCTTCTAGTCAAACTCTGAATCAACCAGTTTCCTGTCTGTTAAATCAGATTTAATAGAAAAAGCATCTGATTATTAAAATATTCTGTTATTAAAACTCATCCATCTTCATTTGTCTCCACAGAACCGTTTCCAGTCTGGGCCATAGTTCTACTGGTTCTACTGGTTCTGGCTCTGGTTCTGGCTGCTGCTGCAGGAGTTTCTGTTTATTTCTGGTTCCGCTGGAAACCAGGTGAGTCTCTAGAGCTGCATTACCCATAATGCCTTTGGTCAGTGTCTGCTCTCCTCCACAGCAGGACTGGTGCATTGTGGGTCAGCAGCTCCCGGTGCATTGTGGGCCAGCAGCTCCCGGTGCATTGTGGGTCAGCATTGTGGGTCAGCAGCTCCCGGTGCATTGTGGGTCAGCAGCTCCCAGTGCATTGTGGGTCAGCAGCTCCCGGTGCATTGTGGGCCAGCAGCTCCCGGTGCATTGTGGGTCAGCAGCTCCTGGTGCATTGTGGGTCAGCAGCTCCCGGTGCATTGTGGGTCAGCAGCTTCCTGTCTCTCTGTCAGCTTGAGGACAAACAGAACCTAAAGAGTCGGTGAGGATGGAGCAGAGCTTGACCTGTGTGAAGTTGGCCCCCCCTTCAAATCAGAAAAAATGGGTGTCAATCAATTTGGCTACATTCGTGCTGGTATGTGCAGCAAAAATTTTCGTTTGTGCTGTTTTGACTTTGAAGATATTAATGAAAGTGTAAAGGTCAACCAGCCCCCCCACTTTTATGAAATCAAACAAAATTGGTGTCAAACGTCTGTGCTACGTTTGTGCTGGTTTGTGCAGCAACATTTTTTGTTTTTGCCGCTATCATTTTAAAGACATAAAGAAATGTTTCTAGAGGTCATCCAAGGTCAACCAGCCCCCCACCTTCTTCAAATCAGGCAAAATGGGTGTCAATCAATCTGATTATTTGCTATGCTGGCTTTGAAGATAAACATTTAAATTTAAACTTTTTGATGTCAAGGTTTTACTTTGAAAATATTACAGAAACCTTAAATCAGAGAAGCTTCACTTATTTTATTATAACCAACTCATGATCACAATTGTTTGCAAATGACTTATTTATCTTGATTATCTGTCTTTACAATTCATAGCACAGAATATTCAACAACATTCTACAATAAAAGATTAATTTGTTTAAAGAACACTACATTAAACCTTTATCTTTTATGTCACCAAGCGCTGAAAGTTGCCCTTCTGGTACAATAAATGTTATTTTTGGTGTTATCCATGTTGAAAAACCTTTATCAACTATCATAAACGCCCTGCCATGTTAGTATTATGTTCAGAGCAACATATGGCTAATTTATTTAATATGAAAGATTACTAAACATAAACTTGAGTTGAACAATTTTTAAAATAAACTATGCATTCAATTGGACAAAAACATTAACATGCTGGTGACGAAAACAGGAAAGCTCACCATTACTCTTGTATAGAGCACAGTATGAGGGCATATGCTGTTTTTTTCCGATGGTGTCATTACTTCTTTTCTGAGGTCATCGTACATTTTCCAGGTGCCTGGGGAGTCTTCTCCTTTTGCAAAAGCTTGATCATAAAAGTTATGTACGTTGTCTGTAGTTCTTTTATGAAGGTTCAAGAAAAAACACCTATCATATATTATTCAGTATTAATCATTATTTATTTGTGTTTGTACAGTTGTATAAATATATATTGATATTACTAAATAATTTA